CGCGAAGTGGACGGCCGAGTAGCCGAAGACCTCGGGGTGCGGCAGCGCGCCGCCCCACAAGATGCCCCGGCCGTGGCGCGCGTAGTGCTCCGTCGTGCGCTTGTACTGGCCGTAGAGGTAGCCCACCTCCGCCGCGCCGACGTTGACGCCCATGGACGGCAGGTCGCGGTCCGGCCCGACGTACTTGGAGAGCTCCGTCATGAACGACTGGCAGAAGCGCTGGATCTCGGACTCCGACGCGAGGCGCGGCTCGAAGTTGGACCCGCCGGCGGCGCCGCCGAGCCGCGCGCCCGTGAGCGCGTTGCCGAAGTTGCCGTCGAAGGCCATGGACTTGACGAGGTCCGCGTCGACGTGCGCGCCGAAGTGGAGGCCTGGGCAGCACAAGAGTGATTCAACGTCGCTTCAACGTGAGTGTTCCGCGCGCGCGCGTCACGAGAAAAACATCCACGCGTCGAGACCGTTCCGAGAGACGACCGCTCGTCCAAAAATCAGCCAAAACGAGTGGAAAACGGCCGAGAATGGAGCCTTTGAAGTTGGGAATTTCGCTCTCTTTTGCTGCCCTGGTGGAGGCCGCCCTCGTAGGGCCCGAGCGTCGACGAGTACTGGACGCGGAAGCCCCGGTTCGTGCGCGTGTTGCCGCTGTCGTCGATGTAGGACACGCGGAAGGAGATGAAGCGCTCCGGCTCGAGGAGGATCTTCGCGATCCACGCGTAGCGCGGGCTCCGATCGAAGACGGGCGCGAGCGACTGCATGAAGCACCCGAACTGGTCGAGGTAGACGCCCTTGTTCCCGTCGCGCCGCTTCGACTCGTTGACGAGCAGGTTCACGGCCTGCGTGCCCGTCTTGAAGAAGAGCTCCTCGCCGTGGACGCGCAGCAGGGCCTTGTTGCGCCACTGGCGCGGCTCCGTCATGGACTGGGACCCGTGGACGCCGCCGGCGGGCGTGAGGCGCGCCAGGCTACTCTGGCGCCGGCCGAGGGCCGACGTGACGCGGCGCAGCCGGGAGCCGAGCATGCCGACGGCCTGGAATTCAGCCTCACTTGCAGACTCACTTCTGGCGCTCCTTGCCGTCTCTTGGCCGCATTCTTCAGATTTGTTAGAACTTGAAGCGATGCTGAATGCTCTCGACGTTTGAAGCGCTCTCCGATGGCGCTGTCTGCTCCCCGGGGGAGGGTTTCCGTCGGGAGCTGCCCTCAGATGAGCGTGTCGATCGCGTTCGATGGGGCATTGCCCGGGATGGACCACGAGATCTGAGGGCGAGAACGCTTCGGAGAGCGCGGCGTCTGGGGCCCTGGATGGGCTGCCTCGGGGCGTCACGAGGACCCGATCGTCGCCGGAAACGCGGGTCCTCGCCTCAGATGACGATTCCATCCGGGTCATGGGTCGATGGGATGGCCTCGGGGCCCTCGACCTTGGGCTGGGGGACCTCAGGTCGGTCCCCGAGGGCTGCGTGGCCGTGGCGCCGTCTGAGCTCGACCTGGTGGACTCGATGATTTTGGGCTCCCCCGAGGAACCCGCCGGGTTGGACGCGACGGG